ACTAACAGACAGAAGATATTTCTCTCTCTCTCATTCTGTCAAATCTGCCATTCCAATAAAAATAAAATAAAAAATAAATAAATCATTTTTAAAAATCATTTAATAAAAGAAAAAGAAAAAAGGAGACATTACTGCTAATTCCATAGAAACACAAAGCATCATAAGAAACTGCTCTGGAGACGTCCCCTTTGGGCACCAGTTCAAGTCCTTTGAATCTGACTACTCCATTTTCAATCCAGCTCCTTTCTAATGGCCAGGAAAGTAGCAGAATAATATAATATAAACATATAAAATACGTAATGTAAAATAATAAAATTAGGAGCAGCTGCTTCTTACAGATAATCAACACTGTTAAAGCTGCATCCCACATTGGAGTGCTCAACATCCCGTACAGATTCTTGCTAACGCACACCCTTGGAGGAGGCAGATGGTGGTTCAAGCACTGGGTCACCCACAGGGGAGACCAAGATTGAGACTTGGACTCCCAGGTTTCGTCTGGTCTGGCCCTGGCTGCTGCATGTGGAGAGCAAACCAGCAGATAAACGATCTCTAATCATATGTCTACCTCTGTCTGTCTTTAAAATCCTCTCCTTGCATGCTCAGGATCCTATATGTTCAGCAGTTCTTGTCTTGGTTGCTCCACTTCCCATCCCACTCCCTGCTTGTGGCCTGGGAAAACAGTTGAGGAAAGCCCAAAGCCTTGGGACCCTGCCCAAGGATGGGAGATATGGTAGAAGCTCCTGGGTTCCTGGTTTCAGATTGGCTCAATCCCAGCCATTGCAATCACTTGGGAAGAGAACCAGCAACAGAATATCTTTCCCTCTGTATCTCCTTCTCTCTGTAAATCAGCCTTTACATTAAAATAAATAAATCTTAAAAAAATCACATTTACAGGGGGTCAGCATAGTATAGCAGGTTAAGCTGCTGCCTTCAGATGACAACATCCCATATGGGCAACAGTTCAAGTCCCTGTTGCATCATGTCTTTTTGTTTTTAATTGAATTTATTCTTTTTATTTTTGGTGGTATTTTCATAGTTGACCAGGATGAGATAATTGTTTTCAAATCCTCCCCCTTTTCCTCCTGTTATCTGGGGGAAAGGAAGAAATTAGGAGAGAAGCCTCATCCAGCATCTCTGCCAAATAGTACCAAGGGTTGGGAAATGGCCATTCAATGCCACCCCAGGGTTCCTGATGTGGAGCCTAGAGTGCTGTCAATCTCAAGCAGTTTAAAACTATTAGAACTACCTGGGCAGAACCCTGGGGGCCTGCACCACATCAGGATCCTGGGTTGATACTGGGTAACTAATTCCCATTCCCAGGTACTGGGGCGGTTGGGAGGCTTGTATGGCTCCCCCACTTATCTCCTCCCTTCTCCCAGAAACAAGAAGAAGAAATAGAAAATTTGGAAACAATGATCACACTGATTTTCCCTAACCCTTGATCCTTCCCACCCTGATCAACCATATAAACATCATCAAAAATAATATTTTTTAAATGCTGTCAATTTCACCAATTCAAGGATGAGGAAATCCTTCCAAAGTCCATCTACTGACACAGTCCACCCCAGAGTCTCCATTCACCCAGATATTTGCTGTCAACACTTAGCTGTGGTGGTTGAGTGATTTGTTCTGCTCTCCTTCCTCTGCTATAGTACCAGATATCCTCTGCCTGCCCCCAGTGGACTGCATGTACTCCATGTGCACTTGGGCATGCCATCCACTACTCCATCTAAGCCACTGAGGAGGTCCAGTCCTGACACATGCACTCCGCGTTAAGACCAGAGATCCTACAATTCTCTTCATGATCAGAGTTCTGAGTCCAGCAGTTCAGTTTGGAGGATCCCCATAGAAACCTCATCTGAGGTGATCCCAGACCTGACTCTTGCATGTGCTTGCCAGTAGAGGGTCCAGCTCTGTCTGTCACCAAGGTGAGCCTACATACACATTGATAGTTGCAATTGCTGGCCCACTTCTACTACAAACACCATTTCCTATATAAACCAGTGGGTGCTGTGGCCCAGCCCAACGCTGCCTACCACACACTTGGCCTTCATGTTCACCAGTGGGAACCACAGGCTAGTTGGGTGACTCCAATAACCCCCACTGGGCTTGGTCCCAGCCCTGGTTCCTAACCTTGGCAATACGTGCATCAGACTGGCCTAGTCTGCCTGGCATCACATTTGCTGCCCCACTTCTGATCCAGCTCCCTGCTAATGTTTCCCTGGGAAAACAGCTGAGAATACCTCAAGTGCTTGGGCCCTGCAGTCACGTGGGAGACCAGGGTGAAGTTTCTGACTCCTGGCTTTGGCCTGGCCTAGCCTTGGCAGTTACAGCCACTTTAGGAGTGAAGCAACTAATGAGAATCTCTCTCTGTCTCTCTCTCTCTCTCTCTCTCATTCTTTCTCTCTCTTTCTTTAACTCTGCTTTTAAAATCAACCAATCAATACAATCAGATTATGGAAGTCATCTGAGTGGAGCAGTGTGACATGTGCTGACTCAGAATTAAAATGTTCAGCAAATGTGGTGGCACTTTGGCTAGGACCAGGTGTTTGTTCACATTCCTATTGTTGAGTGCAACTGGGTAAAAATACCAGCCCACACTGCTGGACCAAGTGTGACAGATGGAAAAGGCTTCACTCTCTCACCCTGCACTGTGCCACTCCGGCCCCTTCTCTCCACTGTGACCTGCCATCTTGCTAAAGTCTGGTCGTATTGGGTGCTCATTTTAAATACTCCAAGGGTGGGCTTGTAACCAACATGTAAAATAGCTGCACCCACAGCAGAGCACCTTGGTTTGAGTCCCAGCTCCTGCTCCTGCCTCCAGCTTCCTGTTAATGCAGACCCTGGAAGCAGTGGTGCTGGCTCATGTGATGGGGTCCCTGCCATGCTCATGGGAGCCTGAATTGCATTCCTAGCTTCCAGCTTCAACTTCAGCCTGATACAGCATTAAGTAAGTGAACCAGCAGGGAGTCTCTCCATCTTTCTCTTTCTTAAGAAGAAAAATATAATTAAATAAAAACATGCCAATGATTCCACCTCACGCTCAGCCTCTAGATTATCAGACTGATAAGGGCTTAGAGTTATCTAGATCAAAGTTTTCCCTCCAGCATCTAGAGTCACACCTGCAACATAGTTGACAATTAATCTGTAGAATGGATGAAATTTGGTTATATTACAGCTTAATTGTATCATGTGATAGTCATAAAAGGAAAAATACAATAAACTTTAGGGAAGGTTTTGTTTAATCTAATGAGTATTCACAACTGTTCATGGATTCACACCAGTGGGGGCAAGCTGCGAATGGGGGACTCCTCAATGCTTGGCTTGCCCAGCCCAGACCCAGTCCTCGCTCTCTACACTCTTAGATTGCATGTAGTGGCTTAACCTACTACACCACAGTGCGTAAGCCTTTAGATGACCTGCTGTAATGGCTCCATCTCACTTTAGAGAAACCTCTATAATGTAAGGCCCATAAACACAGGGATCTAAGGTCGTCTTGATCAAAACTGCAACTCCAGCATATGCAGCAATACCTGCTGACAGTAGATTCTCAATCATAAGAAGAAATCTGAATGCATTATAATTTAATTGCAACTATAACAATCATTAAAAAAAAAACATACAGCAGACACTAGGGAAGGGTTTATTTCATGTGTTGAGTGTTAATGCCCCTTGTGGAATTCACTCCAGGGAGGACGATGGTCACCTTGGTTTCAGGTACACACTGGAGCCCGGGTATTGCTAGCTTTGCATTCCTGCAGCATTGGTTACCACACTCAGTGGCTCAGAACCACACCCCTTCCTGTTCCCATTTCTGGTCACACTGCAGGGCTGGTGTGGCCGTGCTCTCTGGGCCTCTCACAGAGCTGAGTTGCCATCTTGGAGTTAGAGTCTTCCTCCAGCTTCCTCTAGAACTTGGGGTAGAGTCCAGCTCCTTGAAAGTGGAGGTGTGGGTCCTGTTTGCAGGAGTGCTGTCAGAGTGCAGGCAGTGCAGAGGAGTGCTCTGTTAAGAACTCCTCAGGGCTACCAGCATTCTTGTGAACACAGTTCCCCCCATGTCCACATGCCACAAAGGAGAAATTCCTCCTGTGGAACATCTCAAACTGTGAATCTCTCTACTCAGGAAGAACTCTGATTTGTTTTGTATTTATTTATTTATTTATTTGGGAGGAAGACTTATAGAGACAAATCTTCCACCCACTGGTTCACTCCACAACAACCTGAGCTGGTCCAGTCCAAAGAATGAGGAGCTTCTTCTGGACCTCCTACATAAGAATCCAGTTCTTTAAGAGGCTCCCCCAATTAGCCCACCTTGTGATCACCCCTGATTTAAGGTTATTGATATGGTTCTTTAATTTTTTCTGCAGAATCCTTTCATGAGGGCCTGGCATGATCTTGCCGGGATCCCATATGGTGCCAGTTCCTGCCCTGGCTGCACTCAGCTCACTGCTGGTGGCTTGGGAAAGCAGGAGAGCACAGCCTAAAGCCTTGGAACCCTGCACCCGTGTGGGAGAAGTAGAAGCTCCTGGCTCCTGGGTTCAGATTGGCTCATCTCTGGACATTGTGGGTATTTGGAGTGTGAATTAGCACATGGAAGATCTTTGTCTCTGCATTTTTCTGTAAATCTTATCTGCCTTTTAATAAAAATGAATAAAAATGAATAAAACCCCTTCTTGCTGGGATCCAAACTAGCATTTGCAGGAATGCAAATAGCAGATGGTGTTTCTAGATCCTGAGAATGGGGAAGCATGATGGTTCAACAGGCTAATCCTTTACCTGAAAGCCCCAGTATCCTATATGGGCACCAGTTCATGTTCCAGCTGCTCCACTTCCCTTCCATCTCCCTTCTTGTAGCTTAGGAAAGCAGCAGAGGGTGACTCAAAGCCTTGGGACCCTGCAACCTTGTAGGAGACCTGGAAGAAGTTCCTAGATCCTGGTTTCAGATCAGCTCAGCTCTGGCTATTGTGGCCATTTAGGGAGTGAAGCAGCTGATAGATAACTTCCCCTCTGTCTCTCCTTTTCTCTGTAAATCTCCCTTGCAAATAAAAATAAATAAATCTTTAGAACCTACAGAACACAGCCTGGTGCTTCTTTGTGTGCTTTATCTGATTGCAACTGAATTTCTTTTTTTTTTTTTTCTTTTTTTTTTTTTTGTAAAATTTTATTTTTATTTTGACAATCTTTACATAGTGAATTAGGGTAAGAAGGTTCAAGGGCTACAGGAAAGTGGATAATACTAGTATGTTTTCCATATTGTTTCCTTCATGTTTGAAGGAGGGTATTAAGGGAGAAGGGCTACCCAATTTCCTACCCTCCCCAGGTCCCGGATGTAGGGCATGCTCCGAGGTTCTTGTTCAAGTGGTTTTAATAATGCAACAGTTATGAGTCACTGCCAATCTTGACACTCCAAGCACTATGAGGTCTTTGAAGAATCCACTGATTGACATAGTCTGTCATAGCTGAGACGGTTGGTTGACATGTTCTGTCTTCTCTCTTTTCTTCGTTAGAGTTCTGAGTCCAGCATTTAGATTAGGAAGAGCTCCAAAGAAACTTCTTGTATGTGCTAACAAGTACGGGCCTGGCACTGTCCATCGCTCCAATCAGCTGGTGGTTGCAATTGCTGGGTTGGTTCTGTTTTCACTCCCGGCTTCCACTGGAACCAATGGGTGTTGCAGTCCAGCCTGGTTCTGCCCAGCACATACTTGGCCCTCACATATACCAGTGGGAGCTGCAGCCTAGTTGGAGCGACCACAATAACCCTTACCAGGCCCACCCCCTGCCCTGGTTTGCCAATATGTGTAGCAGTAGTCCAGTCTGTCCCACACCCCATTCCACCCCAGCCACTATCCTAGTTTTATGTCCTCCCATGGAAGTGGTAACCCAAGGGGGATGAGCCCACTATTTCCCTCCCAGGCCTCTCCCACTCCCAGATTCCAGCTGATGCTGTGGCTAAGCCCAAACAACCCTCGCCCACTTTAATTTTGTTTGCACCAGTAGGAATAATCAGCCCAACCCGGCTTTTCCCTGATCTAGTCCACATGAGGCGCACAGGTGTGGTAGCTCTGCCTAGTCTGGTCTGCCCCCATCCCAGCCCATGCTCTCCTGCGGAAGTAGCTGTCCAGCAAAGGAACCCTCCCTTATTCCCCTGCCGGCTCTGCCCACTTCCTTTCTTGTTCTCAGGCTGGTTGGGTGCTGTGGTCCCTTCCAGTACAGGCAACCTCACCTTGGCATTCCTTATTGTGCACTAGTCTTCATTGCGACCGAACCTGGCTCAACCCACACTGGTGCCTGGATTTGCCAGTGGATGACGTGGACAGATTCAGCCTGGTCTTGCCCCCATGTCTGCCAATTGTATGCCAGTGTGTAGCTTTCCATGGCCTTTTCTGGGCTGTTTCCTATCATGTTTCTTGTGCTTACCTGCCGGGTCTGTGTCCTGCCAGAGGAGTTGCCCAGGCTTCTCCATCAGAACCTCTCCCAATGCCAGGTTTCATGCTTACCAGTGGGTCCATGAGCCAACCCTACTCAGTCCACCTCCTGTCATAGCAGGAACTGTGGCTTTTCCTGACTGGCCTTCAATCCAAACTGGTCCTTGGTGTTGGATGTTCCAGCCCAGCCATGGTTTGTTCACACCCACATATGGCTCACACATGGCTCAGTAGGGGTTTGAGACCTTGCCTAGTCCATCCTACATCTGCCCTGGTCCTCTAGGACACCAGGGGGTGTTGAGGTCCGGCCCGGTTCAGTGCATCTAATTCCAGTCCACACTTGTGCCAAGGGAGACTACAACTGTTTCCAGATCAGAACGCAGCCACCCTTCCAGGCCACATGCCTCATGGTGGGAACCTCAGCCCAGCTAGGGTTGTCCCCTTTGCTCCCCAACCAGGCCTGTTCCCAGCCATAGATCACTTGGCTGCCAGTGGATGCTCTGACTCAGCTTGGCACAGCCCTTCCCCTGTCCCGAACGCTGCCTTAGACACTATGGCTTAGCGTCCCTGGCTCCCGCAGACCAGTAGGTACAAGAACCTAGCTCGGCATGACCTTTGCTCCCTCCTGGTTTCTAATTTTACTTGTGGGCTAAGGTTTGCTCAGTCGTGCCTGATTTACTCTGTTCCATTACCAGTTGACACATTAGCCAACTGTTGGAGCTACTTTTGCAGGACAAGCCCCAAGCCATAGCTTCTGCATGGACTGGTATTTGGTGCTCAGCATTATTAGTGATTACAAGTTTTACAAAAGAAGAGTTACTGCCTGTTTCAGGTCCAAGAAGCACAATGGGTTCAACCTGAAACTAATTAAGCAACAACTCAAAGAACCAAATCCCCAGAGCTTCCCAGCCGGGCGGCCAGCAGGCGGAGCCTGGCACAAAATGGCGCACTGGCCGCCCGGGGACAGCTCACCATGTGCACATGGCGGCTGTCCGGGATCCAGGCATGAGACGCCCCGTCCTGAGACCCACAGCAATTGAATTTCAAATAAAGAAATTGTTGTAAAAGGCAATATATACTCATATACATACATATGCATATATCTCTCCAATCTATTTGAGCCTTGGAAATTTTTCCTCAATCTTAAAACCAAAGTGTGTTACACTGCCATTTTGAACATCCATGTTCCACATGGGGCGAGTGCTGTTCCTCTACTTCCAAGTCAGATTCTACTAATGAACCTGGGAAAGCAAGAGAAAACAGCCTAAGGACTTTGGCTCCTGCCACCAACATGGGAGGCTATCCTGACTCCAAGCAGGCACAGAAGTGGGTAATGCAGACATTTGGGAAGCAAACCAGCAAATGGAAAAGTAATCTCACTCTTGCTTTCTTATAATTCCTTTCAAATAAATATTTTTTTAAAGATTTACTTATTTTTGTTGGAAAGGCAGATCAGATTTACAGAGAGAAAAAGAAACAGAGGGAAAGATCTTCCATCTCCTGAGCCTCCCACACAAGTGGGGTCTCAAGGCTTTGGGCCGTCCTCAACTGCTTTCCCAGGCCACAAGCAGGGAACTGGATGGGAAGTGGGGCTGCCGAGAGTAGAACTGGAGCCCATATGGGTATCCTGGTGCATGCAAGGCAAGGATTTAGCCATTGAGCCAGTACGCCGAACCCTTAATGATTTAATGTTGCAAAAGAAATGCGAACAAAAGCATAACAGATAGGGTCAGAGTTTGGCTGACACGGCTCAGAGTTGGTCAGGGCAAGGTGGTCTCCCCTAGAGGACCTGTGAGGACCATACCAGACCGGAAGGTAACCCACAGGAACTGAGTCCTCAGGTAGAGCACCCTGGGCATGCTGGGGCTGATTCCCCAGACACTCACACTCCAGCTAATCTGGACTAGGTAACAACACGTTTTGAAAACCCTTGGGGCTCACCGCCTGTGGCCCTGACAGAGATGAACCTCCCTCAGCAAAGGTGGTGAGGATGGACGGCTCAGGGAAGAAACAGCCCCAGAAAGGAACAGGGAGTGGAGGGAAGTGGTTCTGCTTCTCAGCGCTGATCCGAGCGGGAGACAGGCAAGGCAGGGCGAGGTGCAAACCTCAGGGCCCTGCCTTCTCTCTCCTCAGGTCTCTGCCGCAGCCCCGACCTTGAGCCCCGCTGCAGCCCAGGTCAGCCCAGAGCGGGTTCATCCCACAGCGACGCGCGGTCCCTCCTGGCGCGCAGGCAGGAGCCGGGAGCGGGGCGGTGGCGCCCCCGTGTGGCCACAGCGCTGAGCGCAGAAGCCCGCGACCTCCCTGCTCCTGGCTCAGCCTGACCTGTCCCACCGGGGTCTCCGGACTCCCAGCCCCTGGAACGACACAGGGGAGCCCCGGCCCCGTCACAGTTTCAGAATCGGGCCTGTTTCCCACAGTTCACAGTGCCATGGGTGTTGTCTGGCCACTGAGCGACCCGTAGCTCAGGACAGAGCCGGGGTTTCAGACCCAGAGCGCTGGTGCCTGGGTTGTTCACATCCATAGCGGGTACCCTCAGCCTCTGGGGTTGAACCCCAGACTCCCAAGTCCCTGTCACGTGTTTCTGCCGCTGCTGAGGCCCCTCCACGGGGACTCACATCAGGGTTGTCTTTGACCTGGAGGGTGATTGGGGGGTGGAGGTGGGAGAGTGGGGAGTCCTTGTAAGGGGCACCAGTGTGACAGAGGGAGAGCGAGGGAGTCGGCGTGGGAAGGCTGACTACAGGATCCCATGGGTTGTGCTGGGCAGCTGTCCTCATCCTGGGCCACAGAGGACAGGTGTCTGTGCTGCCACTGTGGGCACCAGTACTGCCCCCCGTGCACAGGGCTCGGGGGACGCTCTCTGCCCTAGGGCCTCACACACTGCTCTGCCCAGCATGGAGCAGCTCGCTGTCACAGCCTCCAGCTGTCACAGTGGACAACTGGAGCCAGGCCAGGAATTCCCTGAGGATGTGAGCTGGACACACAGGAGGCTGGAGGCCACTGTGGGCACCCAAAACCCCTGGGCTCCCTGCACAGCGGGGACATCTTGAAATCTAGAGTCCCTTTCCCTGAGGTAACCGTGGCACCCCAATCCTCAGACAGGAGCCTGGGCCTCCGCTCACCTACTGCCCTCAATCTCTGAGCCCTGAAGTCTGTGTCTGCCTGGGTGCATATGCAGAACCTCGAGAGTCCATGAACCAGAGGAGAGACCACAAGGCCCTACACCCTGCAGCCACCCATGACCCCTCAACCCTCGGGCTCAAGAGACTGCAGGACAGTGGGTGGCCAGGGGCTGCCACGCTGAGGGGCTATGTGGGTAGACCATGATGTGGTGCGTTGCTGAGCTCCAGGTATCTAAGTGGCATAGCTCACTCCTGCTGTGTGCAGAGCTGTGGGGGTCAGGGAATGGGGGCAGCGGACAGAGTTCTCAGGCATCAGTCTGACCCACAATGTGCTTGTGTTTGGAGATGGGGGCTTATAGTCAGTGAGGTGGGACAGGAACATAGCAAGATCCCAGTCCAGAAAGCCAGGAAGATGGACAGAGACAGCACTCGCCCTCTGCGTGCACGGGAGCGAAGCCACAGAACAACACAGTGAGAGCTGCCATCCCCACACCAAGGTCTCCGTGTCCTGGCACCTTGATCTGAACTTCGTTTCGCTGAGTGTTTGGGGCCCCCAGTCCCCGCTCCCAAAGGTCTGTAATATGAAGGTCTGAACCTTTGGGGTGATGACGCCCAGCTGAAGCTGGAGGGCAGGGTGGCTCCTGTGATTGGATCACAGTCTTTAAAACAAGGGCAAGGCCAGCATTGTGGTGCACCTGTTCCCACCGCCACCTGCAATGCCAGCTTCCCTTACCCTGGTGTTGGGTCAGCTCTGCACCTGGTCCAGCCCCCTGCCGATGTGCCCAAGGAAGAAGATGACCAAGTGCTTGGGCTCCTGCCACCCACCAGCGCGCTCTCTCTTTCTCTCTCTCTCTGTCTGTCTCTCTCTCT